ATTATTTTATTAATACTTTATGTATTAATTTTTATTTCATATGTAGTTTGTGGAGAAAGGGTAAGTTTATCTGCATTTGTGTCTTTATTTTTTATTTTTATGAACATACTTTAAAAAAAATGAATATAAACTTCTCTCTGATTTTATATTTATATATCATGGTTTTGTAATCATTGGGATTTTATCCTCTCCATGACTAGACAGTACTTTGTTATTAATTTTAATTATTCCACATTTCCCTCATCAAGTACAATAAATAGTAAAAGAAATAAAAATAGTGATTAGGGGTAAATCAGTATGTGATTTACCTGACTCCAATTGGAGGGGAAATTGGAGTGCAGCCCTGGAGGATATTATGTAATTTACAAAGAACAGATTAAGAGGATGTGGACTTGGGTTTGGTGTCACAGTGGACTAAGCAATGCACTGTTAACCACAACATCAGTGGTTCAAACCCATCAGCTCCTGCATGGGAGAACAGAAAAGATGTAGGAAACCCTATGAAGCTGTTATTTTCTGTCCTATAGGATTGTTATGAGCCTGAATTAACTAGACAGTAGTGGGCTATGACACTATATAAGACATAACCAACTTGATGACAAGGCATTTGGTTTGGTTCAGATACTATAAGAAGGAAAGTTGGTGGTGGAAAGGAAAAGGACTCAACTTTATTAGGTCAGTGGTTCAAACCCACCAGCCAATACATGGGGGTGGGAAAAAATGGCAATCTGCTCCCATTAATGTTTCTTCTTCTTCTTGTTAAGTGCCATTGGGTCAATTTCAACTCATAGTGACCCTGTAGAGGATTTTGACATGGTGGTTCAAACCAACTTTGCAGTTCTGTGCATTAACCCACAGAACCACACCATTTATACTATAGCCTATAAAATTATGAGGCAGTTCTACCTCGTCCCACCTGGTTACTATAAGTTGAAATATACTCAAAGGCACACAACAACTTACTATAATGATACTACAATTTAAATACAATTCTATTTTTCTTTCAACTGTCAATGTTATAACCAATGTTAATAAATGAAATATTCAGAAAATTATGATTCTGTGCTCTATCTTGGGAGTACTGCTTCCTGGAAGAAAATGTTAAGGTTAGGAAATGGCTCTCATTCCCAGGGTTCATTTGTTTGTTAGCTTGTGCTATGAGCATACTGGCATCTTGCTGACTTGTTTCAACTTCCTATTCCTTGTTTTTTGTTTTTGTTTTTTGCCACCCCCCAAATAAATAAATAAACACAAAGAAAGAGCCAGTATTTTGACAATAAAGAATTTTTGCCTCACATTATGGTTTGTGTTTAGGGATTATGCTAAACCTTCAAAGAAAATATGATGCATACTCTATGTCCTATTTAATGTATTTATGGCTTGATTTTTCACACTTTCCCAATTTTATTTTTCCTTCATGTAAGTCTTTTTTTTAAAAAAGGAATATTTTAGAAGTTTAATTTGTTTTTTTATGGGACATGCAAAAACTGCATGCAGTTAGTTTTCTAAAGCAGTCTTTATTTGTCATAAGTGATTTTCACTCAATTGTATATGCTGTTGTTGTTATGGTCATTAAGTGCCATGAGTAGGTTCTGATTCTATATAGGGTTTCTGAGAAGTGGCTGGTGGTTTTAAACCACAGGGTTAGCAGTCTATTGCTTATCTTTGGATTTGTGGAATTTTGCTTCATTTATTCTGTTTTCATATTATTTTATTTTCTGCCTTTATATGCTTTTATGTATGAAGCATGCCTCATTTTTGCAAAATTCAAATTGTCTTTTAGCCTTACTAAATTAAGGGAAAAACATGCTTTTCTATTATTTAAATCTACTTGAAACTAAATTCTGCTAATCAGCAATATCATGAATGAAACCAAGTATATTGGCTTAACTGCTTCCTAGAATTTGATGATATATTCTGAAAAGTTTAATGCTAATGGATAACAGCAAAATACATTATGCTATTATTTTCTTTATCAAAAATAATAGTTACTTTTACTTGTCATGAATGATAAAAAGTTACGAGATATGTGGATCATCATCATTTTCTCTTTAACTGTTATCACAGTACACTGTCATTCACTTAAGGAGCCTGGTAGTGTAGTGGATTATGAGCTGGGCTGCTAACTGAAAGGACAGTAGTTTGAATCTACCACCTACTCTATGGGAGAAAAATGAGGGTTTCTGTTCCTATAAAGAGTAACAGCCTCAAAAACCATATACAGGCTAGCTATGAGTTGGGACAGATTCCACAGCACACAATAAACATTGGTATCCTAGGTATTCCTGAGCTGAAACACTGGCACTGGTAATTTTGAATCTGACAATGACATGTTTTATTATGCTGGGAATGACAAGTTGAAGAGAAATGGTGCTGCATTCATCATCAAAAATAACATTGCAAGATCTGTCTAGAAGTATAATGCTGTCTGTGATAGGATAATATCCATATACCTACAAGGGAAACCAGTTAATATGACTATTATTTGAATTTTTATACCAACCACTACAAAGAATTCTCCAACTTCTTCAGTCTGAAACTGATCATACAACCAAAATGTATTTATAATTACTGGTGGTTGGAATGTAAAGGTTGAAAACAAAGATGAAGGATCATTAGTTGGAAAATATGACTTTGGTCATAGAAATGAAGCTGGAGATCCCATGATAGAATTTTATAAAATCCATAACTTATTCATTGCAAATATCCTTTTAAGCAACAGAAAAGATGATTATACACATAGACCTCACCAGGTGGTATGCACAGAAATAAAATAGACTATTTCTGTAGGAGGAGACTGGAAAAGCTCCATAATATCAGTCAAAACAAGGTCAGGGGCAGATTGTGGAAAAGATCATCAATTGCTCATATGCAAATTCAGGCTGAAGCTGAAGAAAATTGAAACATGTTCAGGAAAGTGAAAATCTGACCTTGAACATATCCGATCTGAATTTACAATCATCTGAAGAACAGATCTGATGACTTAAACACTTACGACCAATATTGTAGGATGACATCAAGAATATCATACAAAAAGAAAGCAAAAGGTCATTAAGAAGCTAAGAAAGAGCGGAAAATCCAAATTGGATGTCAGAAGAGACACTGAAACTTGTTCTTCAGTGTAGGGATGTTAAATTGAAGAGCAGAAATGAAGAAGTAAGAGTTGAACAGAAAATTTCTAATCACAGCTTGAGAAGAAAAAATAAAATATTATAATGAAATGTGCAAAGACCTGGGGTTAAAAAATCAAATGGGAAGAACAACCTCAGCTTTTCTCAAGCTGAAAGAACTGAAGAAAAAATTCAAGCCTTATCTTGCAATATTGAAGGAATTTGGGGCAAAATATTGAATGATGCAGGAAGGTTCCAAAGATGGAATGGATACACAGTCACTATACCAAAAGAATCTTTCAATAACGAAAGTCGAGGCTTGAATTTTTCCTTCAGTTCTCCCAGCTTGAGAAATGCTGTTCTTCCCTTTTGATTTTCTAGTTCCAAATCTTTGTATATTTTATCATAGTATTTGGTTTTATCTTCTCGAGCTGATCTTTGAAATTTTCTGTTCAGCTCTGTATCTCTTCAATTCTTCCATTTGCTTTAGGTTCTCTACCCTGGAGAGCAAGTTTCAGAGTCTCCTCTGACATCCATTTTGACCTTTTCCTTCTTTCTTATCTTCTTAGTGACTTTTTGCTCTCTTCATGTATGATGTTCTTGATGTCATCCCACAACTCTTCTGGCTTTCAGTCTTTAGTGCTTAATTCATCAAACATGTTCTTCAGATGATCTCCAAATTCAGGTGGGATAAATTCAAGGTCATATTTTGGTTCTCGTGGACTTGTTTTCATTTTCTTCAGCTTCATGTAAGAATAGAGTATATTAATTTAGAACACAGCCTCTGGGGCCACCACGTAACAGTGATTTATCACTCTTACATAATCACTGAAAGAGGAAATTATAGGCATGGAAATGACAAGGATGAATTGGGTTGGGTGTTTAGCATAGCCCCTGGAGTTCATGAATTCTCAAAAATTTTCACATATATTTACTAAATTGTTTATAAATAATTGAGAAGTACAATGGGTCAAGGGGTCTAAGGCTAAATTCAAATTACAAAACTGTTGTTGTTAAGTGCCTTAAAATCGATTCTGACTCATAGCTTCCTGAACGCTGGATGGGTTTTATTCAATGCTGTATCTTGTGTTCCTAGCTCAGAGTAGGAGGAACTTTACCAAAGTTGAAGAGGAGGAGAAAGAAGGAAACAAGAGAAAGAAGAAGCAGCAGAAAGAAAAAAGAGAAGAAAAGAAAGACTGAAGGAGGAGGGCAAGAGGAAAACAGTAAGCCTATAAGAAAGTATGCTGCGAGGGTTTGGGTTGGGAAGAGAGTATGGGAAGCCTGGGAGAGAGGTATTCACAGTTAGCACTTGACATCCAAGTCGATTTGAACCGCAAGGTCAGTGGTTCAAACTCGCCAGCCAATCCTCGCATACGCTATACAGGGTCACGATGGGTAGGAATTGACTCGTCGGCACTTAACAACAACAACAATGTAACCAGAAGAGGAAGAAATTCAGACCTCTGACTCTAAAATGTCCCATACATTCTTTTGTGGATATTTGTTGAACAGAATTATAATTAATCAGGGGCACAGAGGGATTAGGCTTCTACCGACTGACTAAATTGTATACACTGTGGTTTAAATGGATGATACTTTCAGGGAAAAGTGAAGATTCGACTGTGGTCCTCTTAGACCAGGCTCTAGGCGAGATTGCGACAACTCAGAGGCCCTCAAACTCCAATGTCAAGGGGCCTGCGTAGGCTTAGAGCGCGAGTGACTATTCTTCTGGGGGCCCCACCTTTCAGAATTTAGAATGCAGAGAGGTTGGGGCCTCGGGGACACAGGCACTGGTCATTCTCGGTCCGGACAGGACTGAGGGACAGGGAAGGGGTGCAAGGGAAGGCGGGAGGGGTGCCCCGCAAGGTGTCAGGGAGGCCTGAGTAGGCCATGGAGCTGTACCTCAGTGCCTGCTCCAAGGCTGCTGACGCCGCTGCCACCAAGGTTTCTGCCAGTGGCCTGGCTGCGGACAGCCAGCTATGTGGAGATGTGAGTGGCTGCCCCCAAGGCCTCACTGCCCCCCACAAGGCCTCATGGCCTGGTGCAGTAGGCGGGTGGGGAGGGACTTGCCATGGGCAAAGAGCGGCTCCTAACCGCCCTTCTTCCAGCGCTCGTGCAAAGGCCGGGTGGCGCGGGCTGCGCTGGCCTCAACTGGATGTGGCCTGTCCAGAGGACAGTGGTGGATACTCGCTCAACAGGAGGCTTTGGGGTCTAGGCAGGCCTGATTCCCTCAACCCTGAGTATAAACTTCTGAGGTTTATTTGGAGATTTGAAGTGGGAATAAATTAGCTGAAATTTTATGTAATTCCTAATAGAAAAGACAAAAACTCTCCAATTGCATCTGACAGGGAGCGCACAAAACCCACTTTCCAGGGGTCGGAGCAGCTCAACTACTGGATCTACCTCTTGGGGTCAAGCTGCCTGTGATCCCAGGAAGCAACACTGTATTCTACACTACGAGTTTAAGTGAAAGGGTAAACGAATTTTTAATTGGTTTACACTGATTTGCTATTAATTTCCGAGGTTACATCACAAAAAATCCATTAATGGATTCGGCATTTAACACAACAAGAAAACAAATAAATAAACCCTTATTTAATCCTATGTTGATGTTTAGGGTATCAAATATATAGGATATTATGTTTTGTAAAATGGAGGGTTAGTGAAAAAGAGGAAGACACCCCAAGGAGATGGAGTGACACAGTGGCAGAAGCAATGGGCTCTTTTGTGCATAGGTTCTCTATCAATTGGAAATGACTTGAGAGTACGTAAGGACAACAGTAACAGTATCCAACAATTCCATATAGGATGGAATGGGCAGAATATTAGGTTAGAAAGATTGGATTTTCAGTCCTGTTTTTTAACTTAAGGAAATCATTTTCATGCTTCTCTATTATAAATCGATTTGCCCATTTAGTTAATGTTGATTTATTTAGGAACAAGTTTGATTGAAAGATGTCAAATTATCAGTAGTGGCTGGTATGCTATGATGTCCACCAATAGTAACTCTAATTACAAAATACTTCTGTGTGATTTGATTTTAAGATAAATTCTCTTTCACACACAAAGTTGAAAGAAAGAAAAAAAAGTGTAGTTAAACTGAGTTAACTTGTTTTGTACCTCAATCTCACTCTCAGATCCTTTGAAGAGCCTTCTAATTTTGTTCCAATCCCACTAACCAGTCTTTTCTCCCACCCAGAGCCTCACTTTCCATAGATTGAGGTGTTTTATATGTAGATTGTGGTCTTTGATATCTACCCACATATACCATGTTAATATTTCTGTGCTTTTGTCCCCTGACTTCACAAACTTGGCATAGCCTCTCTTTTCCTCTTCAGTCTGTGAATTTGAACCCTCCTTCAAGATCCTTCCTGGGCTGTCACATTCCCCAATGAATCTTTCCTTAGATTCCCTACTATCTTTTGTTTGTAACAATCTCACTCAGCACTGACTCATGCTGGGTTGTAGTGTGTAATTGTACTTCCTTCCCTAAAGCCCTTTCAGACTCCTGATGTGACACTGTATGAACAGCACTGGTCTATAAACCACAAGGTTAACAGCTCAAACTCACCAGCTGCTCCTCGGAAACTGGGTCACCATAAGTTGGAACCCAATCAGTGGTACTTAACAGCAAGCCGTTTCATGAGTCCTGGTGTGGTGCTGTAGGAAGCATTGGATCAAAAGATCAGTTTGAACTGCAAGGTTGGTGGTTCAAACTCACCAGCCGCTTCTCAGAAATCCTATACAAGGTTGCTATGACTCAGAACCAATGCGACCAATGTGATGGTACTTAACAAAAGAGCCCTTTCATGATTTTATCTATAACATCTATTTCCAGCTTCCCCAGCCTTTGGCTAAGTAGTCAGTGCTAAAGATTTAATATATTCTTATTGAATAGTTAAGGCACAACGGAGCTAGTGCTCAACTGCTAACCAAATGATCAGTGGTTCGAACTCACCAACCCCTTCGCATAAGAGAGATGTGGCACTTTGCTTATATTGGAAACCCTATGGGGCAATTCTAGTTTTCATGTTGGGTCAACTGTAACTCAAGTGGATGGATTCAATAGCAATTCACTGTTGTGGAGTTTTTTTGTTTTTGTTTTTGTTTTAATGATTGTTTGCTTTGGTCACCATCACAAAATCTTTTGTAAAAAGAAATTCTGAATGACTCCTTTATCCTTCTGTTTATGATGTCATCAGAAATGAGTAGAAACTATGAGATTGATATTTGATACTTTCCTAATGAGCATGATTTTTAAAGTGAGTTTTGTTGTTTATGCATTATAATTTATCTTTTTGAAAATCATCTCTTCTATTAGACTAGAGCAAGCTAACCAAAAATGTATCAAACTCCACAAATTGACTGGGTCATACCTACACAAACTAGTTTTCCTGAAACATACTTGAAAGCTATTTCATTACTAGTGATGTTACTCCTCATTAGTGTGTAAACTTAGTCCTAGATTTTATATCTTCTTCCCATATAAGGAGTCCCCAAGATGCTGTGGGATAGGCATTGGACTGAGCAGCAGTTCAAATCCATCAGCCATTCCGAGGGAGAAAGATGAGACTGTCTGTCTGCTCCTGTAAACATTTACCATCTCAGAATGCATACACAGGGTCATCATGAGTCAAAACCAACTCAATGACAGTGGATTGGGGTCCTCAAATATATTCTGTGTTCTGTCATGCTAATTTCTCTCCTCCAGTGAACATTTGTTAGTACACTTGTGAAATACTTTTTTCAGATACTTTCTCTACTCTTATTACATTGTTGTTGTTGTGAAATGCTGTTGAGTTGGTTCCAACTCATTGTGACCCTGTATAGGTTTTCCAAGGAGTGGTTGGTGGGTTTGAACTGCTAATCCTATGCTTAGTAGTCCAGTGCTTGTCCTATAGTGCCTCACCAGGACCCCCTTTTTACATTATTGTTGTTGTTCTTAAGTGTGTTCTGATTCATAGCAACCCTTTATAGGGTTTCCAAGCCTTTAAATCTTCGCAGATGCAGAAAGCCTCTTCTGTCTCCTGTGGAGCAGCTGGGCTCAAACCATGGACTTGGTGGTTCAAAGTCCAGTGTTTATCATATGGAGCCACTGCGCTTCATTGAGAAACTACCTATGAAAGAGAAAGGAGGAACTCATAAAGTCAGTCTTCAGGGAACCAGTATGATGCATTATTATGCTTTGATAAGTATTTTTTTTTGCATATTAATTAATAATGAACATTACTAATGTTTATTACATTCATATCCTAAAAAAGCTTATTAATTTAAGCATTAATAATAATGCACCATACTAGTTCCTTGAAGAGTAACTTTGTGAGTTCCCCTTTTTTTTTCACCTCTTCAATAAAGCAATACTTTTTATCTACTTTTAGTTTTGTTGTTATTGTGTTTATTTTCTAAATAGAAACCTATTATTTTAATTGACAATAGAGGGCTACACTGGCTGCAATGAATGACCTTGTTAACACACATTATTTTTACAGCTCAGTAGCCCAGATTTAATCTTGAAAAACATATGCCTGTCATAGCATAAGGTCAACATCTAAAACAATCTACTCCTTGTCTAATGATGGTTGATTGTGTTCCTTCTAGAAATGATAAGGGCTTCCTCTCTGGTCTAGCAATGAATTCTATCACTGAGTTAAGACATTGCCTTATTGGATCCCTTTCTACTTTCTCTGGAAATGATTTATAATCAAGGAATCCAGCTTTTTTATTTAGGTCTCTTGGGAGGCATTAACATCTGGTGTTAAACAAGAAGTCAGCAACTTTCCATGGAAGCTTTTAAGTGGATCAGTAAAGTCAGGATCCTGTCTTACTCCTCCCATCTTGCTCCTTTGCTCACATACAAAATATCTACCTAGACTCCTGATGTGACTAGGTTGGATAAGCACTGGGCTGCTAACCACAAGGTTGACACTTCAAACAGCTCCTTGAAAACCCTATACAGGGTCTTTATCAGTTGGAGCTGACGCAATGGCATTTAAAAGCAACAACAGGAAGCCCTAAAACTCTGAATAGCATCTCATTTCAGGAATTGGAATGAGGTGGTAGCTACCACTAACCTGAAAACAGAGGTCAAAGAATGGCATCTGCAAGCAGGTCTGATTTGGTGCACAGTAAAGGAGCTCTGGTAGCGTAGTGGTTACGAATCGGGCTGCGAACCTTAAGGTCAGCGGTTCAAAACTACCAGCCGCTCCGCGGGAGAAAGATGAGGCTTTCTACTCCCGTAAAAATTTACACCCTCAGAAACCCTGTACAGGGTCGCTATGGGTCGGAACCGACTCGATGGCACTTAACAACAACATTGTGTAATAGTATAATTTGAATCTGTACCAGTAAATAGAGCAGCTGTTTTCTGGTTTGCCGAACTCACACCCATTCCTATTGTAGGTCACCTGAACCTAGTTCCTACTTTGACATCACTTTGGACTTAAACTTCCATTTTTTTCTGACTAAGCAAATTGAAAAGAAAATACAAAGAAAGGATACAAAAACAAAAATAAGAACAGCTTCCACTTCTACTCCTATCCCTTAAATTTTCCTCTTCCTCCTGGCAATCCACTATCATCCTGCTATTGACAAATGAACTAAGAATTCACATCATAAAAAAAATCCACCTTGATGAAGTTTTAATTCACAAATTAGATGAATACCTTAGCATTTTATCTATACTAATGAATGTAGAAGGAGCTCTGGTAGCATAGTGGTTATGATTTGGACTGCTAACCTCAGGGTCAGCAATTTGAAGCTACCAACTGTTCTGTGGGAGAAAGATGAGGCTTTCTGCTCCCCTAAAGACTTACAGCCTTAGAAACCAGTGCAGGATCACTATGAGTTGGAACCAACTCAACGGAACATAACAACAACAGTGAATATAGAAACATGACCATTAGGTGACTGTCTTACCATCATTTTATATGTTAATAGTTATTATAAAAGGCTGTATTTGATATTTACATATATAGAGAAATCACACTATAAATATATTTTTTAATAATTTGCTATTCACTATCTTGAATTGTATAATATAGCTTTTCAATTTTCTCCTGAATATAGTCCTCATCAATTGTTGGGTTGATAAGACTTTTGTTGTTGTTGTTGTTAGGTGCCGTCGAGTGGGTACTGACTCATAGCAACCTTATGCAAAGCAGAATGAAACACTGCCCAATCCTGGGCCAACCTCACTACTGTTGCCATGCTTGAGTCCATCAATGGCCAATCCATCTCATTGGGGGTCTTCTTCTTTTTCTCTGACCCTCCACAGTACCAAACATGATATCCTTCTCCAGTGACAGTCTTCCTTATTCACTGTCCAGCTTTTGCATGCATATATGGTTATTGAAAATACATGGCTTGAGTCAGGCACACCTTAGTCCTCAAGCTGACATCTTTGCTCTTCAACACTTTAAAAAGTTCTTGTGCAGCAGATTTGCCTAATGCAATATCTCATTTGATTTCTTGACTGCTGCTTCTGTGAGTGTTAATAGTTGATCCAAGAAGTCATTGACAACTTGAATCTTTTCTCCATTGATAAGAATGTTGTTTATTGGTACAGTGGTGAGGATTTTTGTTTTCTTTACATTAAGATCTTCATCAGTAAATGTTTAAGTCCTCTTCACTTTCAGTAAGCAGGGTTGTATCATCTGCATATTGCAGGTTGTTAATGAGTCTTCCTCCAATCCTGATGCCACATTTTTCTTCATAGGACCCAGTTTCTTACATTATTTGCTCAACATACAGGTTGAATAAGTATGGTGAAAGAACACAACCTTGTCGCACACCATTCTTAATTTTAAATCATTAAGTGTTCCTATGTTTTGTTCGAACAACTGCCTCTTGGTCCAGGCACAGTTTCCTCATGAGCACAATTTAGTGTTCTGGAATACTCATACTTCGCAATGTTGTCCATAGCTTGTTGTGATCTACACAATCGAAAGCTTTTGTGTAGTCAATAAAACACAGGTAAACATCTTTCTGATATTCTCTGCTTTCAGCCAAGATACATTGGTCATCAGCAATGATATCCCTCGTTCTCCGGCCTCTTCTGAATCTGGCTTGAACTTCCGGTAGTTCTCTGTCAATGTATGCTTGCAGTTGTTTCTGTATTACATTTAGTAAAACTTTACTCACATGGGATATCAAAGAGTTTGTCCGATGATTTCTATATTCCATTGGGTCACCTCTCTTTGGAATGGGCACAAATATAGATCTCTTCCAATCAGTTGGCCAGATAGTTGTCTTCCAAATTTCTTGACAGAGATGAGTGAGTGCCTCCTCTGCCTTCTTAGTTTCTTGAAATATTTCAATTTTAATTCCATCAATTCCTGGTGCCTTGTTCTTTGCCAATTCCTTCAATGCACCTTCAACTTCGAAGCTCCTTTGGTATCATTGGCTCTTGATCATATGCTACCTCTTGAAATGGTTTAACATCCAATATTTCCTTTTATCTTAAGACTTTAAGATAGGATAAATCTTTAATCTACATTCTTTAGCATTAAAGTTTTATTTCTATTCTTTGTTGATAAAGTTATTTCCATGAATCATTGTGAGTTTTTTTGTTTTTTTTTTTTAACTTAAGATGATTGACATAAAATAATAGCAATTACTATGATCCTTTTGACTCCTGGTGTGACACTGTAAGATAAACACTGGACTGAAAGGTCAGTTTGAAATGCAGGGCCAGTGGTTCAAACCCACCAGCCACTCCTTGGAAACTTTATACATTTGCACTATAAATTGGAACCAACTCAAGGGCACTTAACAACAACAACAAAATTATTCTTTTATCCTTTTATACACTCCCTTGACCTGGGAAAAGCACAAGGAAAAGAAGAAACCTAGCATTGGTTTTAGGACCCCATAAAATTATGTCTTATTTTATTCCTTTTTCTGTTTGCTTTGCTTTTCTGTCTTATATTAGCCAGTTCCTTACATGGGGATCATGTAAGGAGCTAATGAAGTGAGAATGTTGTTGTTGTTAAGTGTCATCGAGTCAATTCCAACCCATAGCAACCCTGTATAAGGTTTCCAAGGAGCAATTGGTGAGCTTAAGCCACAGACCTTGCAGTTCAAATGACTTTGCAGTCTGATGCATTAGCCCACAGCACCACACCAGGACTCCTCAAGTGAGAATGGGTTGTTACAAAAGGGGAATAGAGGAAGTTACAACAGTTAAATTTGCTCAACACAGATCTTTACGTGGTTAGTTCAAACTCTTCATGTATGTTTAATTTTCAGTGAATATTCTAGTCATTTCAATTAGTTAATTTAAAAGTCAGAATTAATTGTGAATTTTAAATATTTTTAATCTGTTTTTGCAGCTTTTTCGACCTTCTTATGATTTTAACCTGACTGATCCTTATTGTAGACTTCTTGAAAACCAATATAAAAGTCTTCATGATCCACATTTAAGAGAATACTATAAACGTAAAGATATCCTGAGAAGGTTAAAGAAAGGTGGCTACATCACCAGCAATAATAAAGTGGGTTAAAAATTACTTCTTGTTAGTCACTGTAAATCTTAATATAAGCTTGCATCTGTACCTCACCAGGGGGAATGTATTTCCTTTTAAGTTGTTCATGAGAAGTTGCTTAAATGGAAATTCCCTAAAGTATTCAGTATTTGGGTCAAGGAAATTAGTGAACATTTTTTAACTGAGACCTACTTCTTCCTTTTTTTTTACAATGAGAAAAGGTGATTGGATTACCTAAAGTCTTTAGGACTTAAAGGTACATAAATAATTTTCTCAGTTATATCATAGTCCACCTTCTGTATCTCTAAAGGTATGATACAATCATCAACAATTATGCTTATATACTCTTTAAAAATGTGAGACAGAATGGAAACCTAGAAAAATATTTAGCTAGATAGAACACATTCTTATTGGGGTTAAGCATGGCTATTTCATTGGTAATTTAATACCTAATTGTATATACTAAATCTCTTATTATTATATAAGTCATTTTAATAAAGGATTAATATTGGGATAGATATTTCCTGATGATTAGCACTTGTAGAGAGATATTGCTTGAAAATTTTTAGCAAAATGTGTTATTACTTTCATACAAATGTATTATTAGAATGTATGCTTTCTTTATTTCTCTAAATAGTAATTTTAATAACTGCTAAATATGCATATATTTTGTTTTGCTTTGTTTTAGATTGTTTGTTCCTTGAAAGAATGGAATAAGTATAGGCAATATCTTACCAGTTTAAAAATAGACTTTGAAAGAAACTATGCAAGAGAGCAAGTAAGTTAAACAGTTAAATTTAATTTCTTACATATGGTTTAAAAGACAGGTCTACTTGTATGTAGAACATTTTATTTTAATATTATGTCCTTTAATTATTGGAGTAACTAACCAAATAAGATTTCCAAATGAAAATTTAGAACAAAAATGGACAATATTAACTCCAAACTCCACTGCCTTCTAATCCTTTCTTAACCTATAGCAACCGTCTTAAGACAGAGTAGAACTTATAAAGTTTCCAAGACAAGCAGACAGCTTTATTTTTCTTCCAAAAAAATGCTGTGAGTTTGAACAACTGACCTTGAGTTTAGTGGTCCAATGCTTAACTGCTTTAAGTTCTCTAAGACATATACTCAGTATAGAAACCCTATACTGAGTCGCTATGAATCAGAACTGACTCGACAGTACTTAACAGCAACAATATACTGAACCAAGAAGAGGAAAGAAACCAGGACATTTATTAATATGCCAATGGTAACTGGCATAATCACTAGTTAATTTGCTACTCAGATGTGTTCCTACTTGATCTGGGACAAATAGGAAAAATCTATTGTGACAGCAAGATTTTACCCCAAACAAGCAAGTAATAGCAGAGGAAAACTGAGTAGCTAGATGTCTTACAGATATCTCCAAGAACATGTACACTATGTGTTTGTGCATTCACACACATGCACTTGTATTCATAGAATTAAAAAAAAAAAAAAAAAATGGCCTTAAAGGTGAAATAGAATAGTTTAGTGTAGAATGAGTAGGTACACAAAGTGGCTTCCTTTTGATGTGCCTCAAAGGTGTGTGTATGTTGTTTGTGTTCATGTTCTAGAGAGCTAGATAAAACTGAGAAAAATATGCATATATCTGTGTATATGTACTTATTTTCTCCATTCAGGAGGAATGAATACAAATAACAATAGTCCTACAGGTATATTGGAGTCCTGGTGTGGCACTGTGGGCTAATGTCAGACTGCAAAGTCCTTTGAACTGCAAGGTTGGTAGTTCAAGTTCACCAGCTGCTCCTTGGAAACCCTATACAGAGTCATAATGGGTCGGAATTGACTTGATGTCACATAACAGCAATATACCCTCACTACATTTCCTTCTCTGTACTTATAGATTTTTCTCTATCATTTATTCCACATTGCATGTCTTCAGAATGGGTTTTGTTATTGATAGATGCCATTGAGGTGGTTCCTAGTCACAACAACCCTATGCACAACAGAAAGAAACACTGCCCAGTCCTGCACCATCCTTACAATTGTTATGCTTGAACCAATTGCTACTGCCACTGTGTCAGTCCATCTCCTTGGATGTCTTCCTCTTTTTCACTGACATTCCATTTTACCAAGCATGATGTCCTTCTTCAGGGGTTGGACCCTTCTGATAATATGTCCAAAACATGAGAGACAAAGTTGAGCTATCATGTCTTCTAAGGACCAGTCTCACTGTATTTCTTCTAAGACAGGTTTTTTTTTTTTCTTTTTTCTTCTGGCAGTCCATGGTATTTTTAATATTCTTCTCCATCACCATCATTTACATACACTGATTCTTCTAAAGGCTTTCTTATTCATTATCCAACTTTCCCATTTCTATGAAGTGATTGGAAATACCATGGCTTGGGTCAGGCACACCTTGCTCCTCAAACTGACATCTTTACTCTTTAACAAAATTGTTGTTGTTGGTAAGTGCCATTGAGTAATTTCTGCCTCATAGATAGCCTATATAGAGTTTCCAAAGATCCCCTGGTGGGTTTGAACTGCCGGTTTTGTAGTTAGCTGTCCAGTGCTTATCCTACAGCGCCATATCAAGAGTCCCTTTAGCAAAATAGTTAACTTTTATTTTAAGAGAGAGAGATGTTTTGATTTTGCGTCAGTTGTCCGAAATGGAGTAAAAGATATATGCAAAGACAATCAGACAGAATTTTACTAAACCTTAAATATAAAAAGGAATTCTGGTATAGCGCTGTAGGGAAAACACTTAACTGTTAACCACAAGGTCACAGTTCAAATCCACCAATCACTCCTTGGAAACCTTATACAGGGTCACTATGAGTCAAAACTGATTCCATGACACTTGACAACAAGAAACATAAAAGAGGCATATCAAAAGATAGTTTTGTATTGTTTCTATATTATTTTTATATAAACATATAAAAACACAATATACACATTTCTGTTTATTGTTTTGTTTTAGAAAATGCTTTCAAAAAGAATAAATAAACTGCAGGAAAATAATCACATTCCTGAACATTTTGATGTTGCACAGTTCCAAAATTGGTTGTTACAAGAAGGTACCCATTCATTTAAGGACCAAGAACTGTTAATAAGGCACAGGTAAGATAGAAGGTAATGCATGTTTTATATGTATATATGTATATGTAGTAGGTTAAAAAAAAAAAGAGAGAAGTAGGAAAGAATTGAAGGCAGGATTTAGAAACAACAACATATAAACACTATTTGATCCCTTTATGTCTCTGTATCTCACAGTGTGGCAGAAAGGGAAGGGAGACCAATGTGTATAGACATTGAAACTTTGCTGCCAAATCTAGGATGAGCAGTTTCTACTAGAAATCTCAACACTGCTAGGAACTCAACAGGTCCATCAAACGGAAAACTGAAGAAAAAATTAAATCCAAAATGTTTTCATAATAGAAGGTAGTGAAAATGTCTTGAGCACATGCCTCAGACAATAGTTTTGTTTGTTTGTTTGCTTTGTTTTTTAATTCAACTTTAAGGACTGACAGTATTAAGTCTGAGGAAGTTGGTGTCAGTCAAAATGGGTATTTGGTATCATTTTAGCTAATGTCAATATAAGCTGTGTTGTCTCCAAGAAACTGAGTTCATTTTTCTATTCCCCACGTATATTCTAATGGTAATTTAAAATTACCATTCTGTAGTCAAGCCCATTACTTAGCAATAAGGGATGATTATTTTTTTCCCCTCTTCTGTCAAGTGTTAGGTGGTGAAGGATAGGGCCCCATTACTTACTTGTCTTTTATACCTTACGGTATCATTTTGTGATAATGCTTTAATACATATTTACTTACTAGAGCTTCAGATCATAGATGGAATAGCTGATAAGAACTTGAAAATTACAAGAAAGCACAGTATCCATTTTTGTCTTCTTATAGTCTAAGCGCCATCGAGTTGGTTCCACCTCTTAGCGACCTTTTATAGATAAGGTTTCTGAGGAGTGACTGGTGAGCTTGAACCACTGACATTTCAGTTCAAAGCAACATTGCAGTCCAGCACATTAACCCACAGGACCACACCAGGACTCTTAAATTTACTGTTTTTGTTTGCTTGCTTTTTTCAGATTTGAAGTCATCACTTAAGTTTATTTGTTGATTTCAGCCTTCTTTGAAACTCACATTCCTGAACCTACTAAGTTATGGATACTTACTGTATTGCTATTTTGTTGTTGTTAAGCATCACCTAGTCAGTTGTGACTCATAGCATCCCCTATATAGGATTCCTGAGGCTGTAAATCTTTACAGGAGCAGAAAACCTCCCCTTTCTCCTGTGGAGTGAATGGGGGGCTTGAATTTCCAACCTTGTGGTTTACAGTCCAGTGCTTATTCTTTAGAGCCACTCTACTACCACTCTATATAAAATGCTTTTAGCCAGCTAGTTCCACATGTTATCCTCATCTTGACCATAATAATAAATAGTTAAATAACAGAAATTGGGGGTTGCCATGAGTTGAATTGATTAAATTTTATTATTATTTTAATAACAACAACCTACATAATGAATAAAAACATGGTGAGTTTGTAGATCAGTTTGACATGGAAGTCCATAAACAAGACTAATGTTAAAAACTGCAAAATTCTTGTAGCTCAACAAATAAAAAGTAAGCAAGGAGATGGTTTATGAATGCCAAAGTATTGAATGCCGTTATAAATGAAGAACTCAGTTTACCTTTACTATTATCTTCCCTTTAACCTAGATATTTGGATATGATACGTAGGGAATTAGAACTACTTGAACACACAGCAGAAGAGCAACGCCTTCTCCAGAGGGCTAAAGAAGAAAGACTACAGCGGGAACAAACTAGAAGAAAACTTAATCTTCGTAGAAAAATCGAAGAGGTAAGAATTAGCAAGCTTTAC